GATCCAGCACTTTATTCTCAGGGGTTCGCTTCCCTTGTCCCTTCCCTCCACCCTAGGAATCCAGGTCTCAGGCCCTTCCTACCCTAGGAATCTGTAAGGTGAATTCCAGCCCTTTCTCAAAGATCTGGGAAGCTAGGCCGGGCGCGGTGGCTCACGCCTGTAATCCCAGCACTTTGGGAGGCCGAGGCGGGTGGATCACAAGGTCAAGAGCTCCAGATCATCCTGGTCAACATGGTGAAACCCCGTCTCTACTAAAAATACAAAAAAACCAGCTGGGCATGGTGGTGCGTGCCTGTAATCCCAGCTATGCAGGAGGCGGAGGCTGCGGTGAGCCGAGATCGGGCCATTGCACTCGAGCCTGGTTAACAAGAGCAAAACTCCATCTCAAAAAAAAAAAAAATCTGGGAAGCTGGTTCTTTAACTCCCATCATGCCCTGGGGCTCCGAGAGTTGCTTTCGAGATTGAGAGACATGGGAGGACAGAGACCCAGAGAGGAGAGAGGGACAGAGACCCGGGGGGGAGGGAACAGAGACCCAGAGAGAGTGGGAGACAGAGACCCAGAGAGAGAGAGGGGGAGGGACAGGGACCCAGATGAGAGGGGGACAGAGACCCAGAGAGAGAGGGGGGGAGGGACAGAGACCCAGATGAGAGGGGGACAGAGACCCAGGATGGGGACAGAGACCCAGAGAGAGAGGGGGACAGAGAACTACAGTGAAGGGGGGAACAGACCCGGAGAGAGGGGGGGACAGAGACCCAGAGACAGAGAGGGGTTGACAGACCCCGAGAGAGAGATGGGGACAGAGACCCAGAGAGAGGAGAGGACAGAGACCCGGTGGGGGGGGGGGGACAGAGACCCAGAGAGAGAGGAGAGGACAGAGACCCGGGGTGGGGGGACAGACCCAGAGAGAGAGGTGCAAAGAGACGCAGAGAGGAGAGGACAGAGACCCGGGGAGGGGGGGACAGAGAACCAGAGTGAGGGGGGGGACAGAGAACCAGAGTGAGGGGGGGAACAGAGACCCAGAGAGAGAGGTGGACAGAGATCCAGAGAGACAGGGGGACAAAGACTCAGAGAGAGTGACACAGACCCACAGAGAGGAGGGGGACACCCAGAGTGAGGGAGGGAACAGAGACCCAGAGAGAGCGGAGAGGACAGAGACCCAGAGAGAGAGGAGGGGGACAGGGACCCAGGAGGGGGGGAACAGAGACCCAGAGACAGACAGAGACCCAGAGAGAGAGGAGAGGACAGAGAGACCCACAAAGAGCGACAGAGACCCAGAGAGAGAGGGACAGAGACCCGGGGTGGGGGACAGAGATCCAGAGAGAGAGTGGGGGGGGACAGAGAAAGCGACAGAGACCCCCAGACCAACGGGGACAGAGACCCAGAGTGAAGGGGGAAACAGAGACCCAGAGAGAGAGGTGGAAAGAGACCTGGAGAGAGTGGGGGACAGAGACCCCGAGAGAGAGGAGAGGACAGGGACCCAGAGAGGAGGGGGACAGAGACCCACAGAAAAACGGGGACAGAGACCGGGGGGGGGGACAGGGACCCGGAGAGAGAGCGGGGAGGGGGGAACAGAGTCCCAGATAAAGAGGAGAGGACAGAGATCCAGAGAGACAGGGGGACAGAGACCCGGGGGGGGGGGGCGGACAGAGACCCGGGGGGCGGGAACAGAGACCCAGAGAGGAGAGGTGGAAAGAGACCCGGAGAGAGAGGAGAGGGACAGGGACCCAGAGAGAGAGGAGGGGGACAGAGACGCAGAGTGAGGTGGGTGAACAGAGACCCAGAGGGAGGGGGGCAGACTCGGGGTGGGGGGGGACAGAGACCCAGAAAGAGCGACAGAGACCCGGGGTGGGGGACAGAGAACCAGAGAGGGGGGGGGGGGAACAGAGAGAGAGGTGGGGACAGAGACCCAGAGAGAGAGGTGGAGAGAGAGGAGGGGGACAGAGACCTAGAGAGAAAGAGGGGGACAGACTGGGGGGGGAACAGAGAACCCGAGAGGGGGGGGAGAGAGAGACTGGGGGGGAACAGAGACCCACAAAGGGGGACAGAGAACCAGAGAGAGAGGCACAGAGACCCGGGGAGGGGGACAGAGAACCAGAGTGAAGGGGGGAACAGAGACCCGGAGAGAGAGGGGGAGGAGGGCACAGAGACCCAGAGAGAGAAGAGGGGGACAGAGACCGGGGGGGGACAGAGATCCACAGACAGAGGGGTACAGAGATCCACAGAGAGGAGGGGGACAGAGACCTAGAGTGAGGGAGGGAACAGAGACCCAGAGAAAGAGGGGGACCCAGAAAGAGTGACAGAGACCCACAGACAAAGGGGAACAGAGACCCAGAAAGAGCGACAGAGGGGGACAGAGATCCAGAGAGACAGGGGGACAGAGACCCAGAGAAGGGAGGAGAGGACAGAGACCTCGAGAGAGAGGAGGGGGACAGAGAACCAGAGTGCCGGGGGCGGGTGGGGGGAGACAGAGACCCGGAGAGAGAGGTGGAGAGAGAGGAGGGGGTCAGAGACCCAGCAAGAGCGAAGAGACCCACAGGCAAAGGGGGACAGAGACCCAGAGACAGACAGGTGGAAAGAGACCCAGAGAGAGAGAGGAGGGGGACAGGGACCCCGAGAGAGAGGGGGACAGACTGGGGGGGACAGAGACCCAGAGAGGAGAGGACAGAGACGCGGAGAGGAGGCGGGGGGACAGAGACCCAGAGTAAGGGAGGGAACAGAGACCCCGAGAGAGAGGGGGGCAGAGACCCAGAGAGGGGGGGGGACAGAGACCCAGAGAGGAGAGGTGGAAAGAGACCCGGAGAGAGAGGAGAGGGACAGGGACCCAGAGAGAGAGGAGGGGGACAGAGACGCAGAGTGAGGTGGGTGAACAGAGACCCAGAGGGAGGGGGGCAGACTCGGGGTGGGGGGGGACAGAGACCCAGAAAGAGCGACAGAGACCTAGAGAGAGAGGGGAACAGACTGGGGGAGGGGACAGAGACCCGGGGTGGGGGACAGAGAACCAGAGAGGGAGGGAGGAACAGAGAGAGAGGTGGGGACAGAGACCCAGAAAGAGAGGTGGAGAGAGACCCGGAGAGAGAGGAGGGGGACAGACTCGGGGGGGAACAGAGACCCAGGGGGGGGGAGAGAAAGACTGGGGGGGGACAGAGACCCACAAAGGGGGACAGAGAACCAGAGAGAGAGACCCGGAGATGGGCGGGGGGTGGACAGAGACCCAGAGAGAGAAGAGGGGGACAGAGACGGGGGGGGGGGACAGAGACCCACAGACAGAGGGGTACAGAGATCCACAGAGAGGAGGGGGACAGAGACCCAGAGAAAGAGGGGGACCCAGAAAGAGTGACAGAGACCCACAGACAAAGGGGAACAGAGACCCAGAAAGAGCGACAGAGAATGGGGAGGGGACAGAGACCCAGAGAAGGGAGGAGAGGACAGAGACCCCGAGAGAGAGGAGGGGGTCAGAGACCCAGCAAGAGCGAAGAGACCCACAGGCAAAGGGGGACAGAGACCCAGAGAGAGGGGGACAGACTCGGGGTGGGAGGGGACAGAGACCCAGAGAGAGAGGGGGACAGACTGGGGGGGACAGAGACCCAGAAAGAGAGACAGAGACCTAAAGAGAGAGGGGGATAGACTGGGGGTGGGGACAGAGAGCCGGGAGGGGAACAGAGACCCAGAGAGAGAGGGACAGAGACGCGGGGGGGGGGTGGAAAGAGACCCAGAGACAGAGTAGGGGGACAGGGACCCAGAGAGAGAGGAGGGGGACACAGACCCACAGAAAAAGGGGGACAGAGAACCAGAGAGGGGGCGACAGAGACTCGGCAGGAGAGGACAGAGACCCGGAGAGAGAGGGGGACAGAGACCCTGCCTTGGGAGTTTCTGGGATTTGAAGTTTTCGTTTCCTTTCGTTGTGACCCAACCACCTCAGGCCACTTTGACTCTGACTCCATCATCTTCGTCCTCACAGGGGATATCTTCGAAAGCTTCTCCTCGCACCCGCCTCTCATCCTGCCCCTGGGGAGCTCGCGCCTGCGCCTTAGTGGTCCAGTGACGGACGACGCCTTGCACCGAGAACTGCGCCGGCTCCGCCGCCTCCTCTGGGACCTTGAGCAGCAGGAGCTGCCAGCCAATTATCGCCACGGGACTCCCGTGGTCACGCCTCCTTGAAGACCAATAGCAGACGAGCGCGCGCACGTTGAAAGGGCATGGGCTCCTCCTCCTGGGAGCCCGCCTGAGCGCAGAGCTTTCTGGGAGTTGTGGTTTTTATCTCGCGTGAACTGCTGGGGATTGAGTTTTCGGGCAGCAGCGGATGGGGCGGTGGGAGCTTGGGCTTAGGGTGTGAATACTAAAAAGTAATAAAGGTATTTGGGGTAACGGCAGCGCCTCGGTTAAAACGCAGGGGCGCTCATGACTTTTCCGCAGAACAAGGTTGCAGAGCCTTTATCTGGGCCCCCGCAGAGTCCAAGGAGGTATTTATAGCCACGGCCTTGGCTTGCCGTTTCACATGTAATCCAACCCCAGAGCACTGGAACCTCCCACACATCTCAGAGCACAGCCCCAAGCTTGCTCTGCCGATTATTAAGCCCTCGGTCCTCCTAGTGGGAACCAGCGCTCTCTCCCTCCCCACACCCCCAATCCATAGTCCACCCCCTCTCCAGGAATCGGAGTCCCCAGCCCCCTCGGGCCCCGTCTACCTGCCCGGCACACCGCCAATCCCAACCCCTCGGTCCTTGTTCCCAGCACTCCGAGTCCCGGCTCCTGCCTCTTTTTCTTCACACCCTGGAGTCCAAGTCCCCATCCCTCTCCTTTCTTGGATCCAGGAATCTGGGCCCCCAGTTTGAACTTTTCACTCCCCTGAACCTGACTCCTGTTGCTGCGTCAGGGAAAATGCAGGCGACAGGTGGCACCTGCCGGCAAGGCTGGGACATGACCACCTGCCGCTGCTGCTCACACGGCGCCCCTCTGCAGGCACCTGCTTCTGTCAGTCCTGCCGCCGCTCCACCCGATCCCACAGCCCCAGGACGCGCAGCAGGAGCGAACCGGGCAACCCCCCCTTTCCACCTGCCAGCATCCCCCCCACAGGCCCACTCAGGCCCTCCCAGTGGGTTCTGCCCCCCCATTCTCAGGGTCCCCCGCAGCGCTCCCGGCACACCCCAGGAAGGTGGGTCGGAGGCGGTCCCAGGCTAGTAGGCGGAGCCTGCGGTGTCCAGCCTCGGCTTCTAGACTCAACCCTCCCCAGAGCACAGCTTCGCCGAGCCCATCTGGTGAGAAGCCCCTGGGGTGGACGGGGGGTGGGGGCACACTCCTCCTCTGTCCCCTGTGTGGTCCCAGTCCCTTCCCCAGACACCCCGGTGGCTGACACCCCACTCCTTCTCAGATGCAGGGCACAGGGACCCTTCTGTTCCTCAGAAACCTGTCAGGGCCCCGTTCCCCTCTCCACCCAGGATCTTGAATTCCGGTCTCCTTCGAGTATTGGGTTCCAGCCTTTCACCTCCTTCTCCTTCAAGATTCAGGAGTCCAGCCCTGCTGCTTCCTTCCTTTCCTAGACTCAGGGGTCCCCACCCAGGATGCCCTCCGCCTCAGGACCCAGGAGTCCCAGATAGCAGGTCCCTCCCCTCCCAGGATCCAGGAGGTGAGGCCCTCCGCCCCTATCTTTCACACCAGGGTTCTGGGTCCCCCGCTTCCTCCTCCCTCAGAGTAAGGTGTCAGGGTCGGCAGCCTTCGCCTCTGCAGCCCCTGGGCTCCACAAGTTATGACCCAAAGCTACTCCTGTCCCACCTCCGCTGGGCCCTTTCCCTGCTAAACTCACTCACAGGGACAGCCTCCCGACCTCCACTCTGAGCCTGCCCTCTGTGGGGCGCCTGCCCTCCCCCACCTCCATCCAGGTCCCCATCCCGGCCTTGGCAATGACCCTGGCAGCTTCCTCCCAGCGTTCCCAATTCATTCGCTCCAAGTTCCGATCTGGTGAGAGAGGGCTCTCTTCACGCGTGGGGGATGGGATCCTGAGAATGCTGTCCTCTGGGGTGGGAGGGGCGGCGGGACCCGTGAGGCATGTGTTTGTGTGCAAAGGGTCACTTTGCATAAAGGGGACCCCAGCACAGGGGTCAAGCTGTGGTGGATCCAAGAGTGTGCCAGTGGCAAGTACCAAGCTCACAGGCGCAATGGGGATTGTGGCCAGGGGTGGGCGTGCAGAGGGTTCAAGGACGATGGCTTACACTGGCGCATGTGCAGAGGCTGAAGAGCAGAGGAGGGACTTCAGATGAACAGTGTGGGAATTTGGGTGAGGGGACAAAGAAGTGTCAAGCAAAGTGTCAAAGGTCTTGCTTTTGGTCCCAGGGCAGGCGAAAAGTGTGCAAGTGTTTTGAACTAGAGGTCAGTTCCTGAGAAGGCAAAGGGTACACGAGTGTGCAACTCAGTGTGCCTGTGCGGTTGGATGGGTGCAAAGACACCAATCACCAAAGAACAAGGAGTGTGCAAACAGCTGCCTAAGTCCAGGCCGGGCATGGTGACTCACCCTTGTCATCTCAGCACTTTGGGAGGCTGAAGGGGGCAGATAACCAGGTCAGGAGTTCAAGACCAGGCTGGCCAACATGGTGAAACCTCTCTACGGAAGATAGAAAAAATTAGCTGGGCATGGTGACCAGGGCCTGTAATCTCAGCTACTCAGGAGGCTGAGGCAGAAGAATCACTTGAACTCGGGAGGCGGAAGTTGCAGTGAGCCGATTGTGCCATTGCACTCCAGCTTGGGCGACAGGGTGAGACTGTCACACACACACACACACACACACACACACACACACGGTACATATGTTAAAAGAAGAGCAGAAATGTGCAGACAGATCCTTGCTCCCAAACTGGGGGACAAACCCTGAGTGTGCAATAAAATAGTGAAAATTCACCCCGGCCGGACACAGTGGCTCATGCCTGTAATCCCAGCATTTTGGGAGGCCAAGGCAGGTGGATCATCTGAGATCAGGAGTTCAAGACCAGCCTGTCCAATATGACAAAACACCTCTACTAAAAATACAAAAAATTGACGCTGGGCGCAGTGGCTCATACCTGTAATCTAAGCACTTTGGGAGGCCAAGGTGGGCGGATTACCTGAGCTCAGGAGTTCAAGACCAGCCTAGGGAACACAGTGAAACTCCATCTCTACTAAAAGTACAAAAAATTAGCTGGGTGTGTAGTGCGTGCCTATAGTCCCAGGTACTCAGGAAGCTGCAGCAGAACTGCTTGAACCTGAGAGTCAGAGGTTGTAGTGAGCTGAGATCGCACCACTGCACTCCAGCCTGGGTGACACAGTGAGACAGTCTCAAAAAAAAAAAAAAAAAAAAAATTACATGGTGTGATGGCAGGCACCTGTAATCCCCAGCTACTTGGGATGCTAAGGCAGGAGAGGCACTTAAACTCGGGAGGTGGAGGTTACAGCGAGTGGAGATCGCAACACTGCACTCCAGCCTGGGCGGCAGAGTGAGATTCTGTCTCAAAAAAAAAAAAAAAAAAAAAAAAAAAGGCCGGGTGCGGTGGCTCAAGCCTTTAATCCCAGCACTTTGGGAGGCTGAAGTGGGTGAATCACGAGGTCAAGAGATCGAGACCATCCTGGTCAACATGGTGAAACCCGGTCTCTACTAAAAATACAAAAAATTAGCTGGGCATGGTGGCGTGTGCCTGTAATCCCAGCTACTCAGGAGGCTAAGGCAGGAGAATTGCCTGAGCCCAGGAGGCGGAGGTTGCAGTGAGCCGAGATCGCGCCATTGCACTCCAGCCTGGGTAACAAGAGCAAAACTCTGTCTCAAAAAAAAAAAAAAAAAAAAAAAAAAGATAGTTGACATTCATCCTGAGCAACACAGCAGCAAAACCCTGTCTCTACCAAAACATCAAAACAAAACAATTTAGCTGGGTGTGGTGGTACGTGCTTGCAGTCCCAGGGACTCAAGAGAAAGTTGGGAGGATGGGTTGAGCCCCGGAGTTCAAGGCTGCAGTGAGCTATGATCGTGCCAGTGCACTCCAACCTGGGCTACCGAGCGAGACCCTGTCTCTAGAAAAAATAAAACAAATTTTTAAAAAGGGAAAAAGTGTTAACATAGAAGCTGGCCAGGCATGGTGGCTCACGCCTGTAATTCCAACACTTTGGGAGGATGAGGCGGGTGGACTACGAGGTGAAAAGATCAAGACTATCCCGCTCAACAACTTGAAACCCTGTCTCTGCTAAAAACACAGAAAAAAATTAGTTGGGTGTGGTGTTGCGCACCTGTAGTCCCAGCTACTCAGGAGACTGAGGCAGAAGAATCCCTTCAACCCAGGAGGCAGAGGCTGCAGTGAGCCAAGATCGTGCCATTGCCCTCCAGCCTGGCGCCAGAAAAATGGCACGTGTGCCAAACTAGAGCCCAGAGAGATGCATATTTAAAATGTGGACATTCGGAGAGTGTTGACTGTGGGAAGGCCCCGAGACAGGGCAGAAAGTAGCAGGACTGCATGGGTAAGGGGAGGCGAGGTGCAAAGGGGCCAGGCTGCCAAGATGGCAACTGTGCAGGGGGTGGGGTGGGCACACGCTTGCTCGTGGAGGGGGCAGGTGGAGCTGGGGGCAGGGCTGCCGCCTGCCTGCATGTTAGCTGGCTCGTGGCCCCAGAGTGGCGCTGGCCCGAGGCGCTGTGCTGGCAGGGAGCAAGCGGGAGGCCCAAGGAAGGGAGCGTGCTGCCCGCCCACCCGCTTGCAAGGACTGTGTAAGGGGGCTGGGCACACGGGTCCCGCCAACAACTGCAGCTCCCACCTCCCTGCCAAGGCCAGGCTCCTGGACACTCCCTGCCCGCCTTCCTCCTCCCACCTTCCACCTCCCTCCTCCCCTCCACAGTCCTCCAGCTTCGGATCCACAGACGGAATCAGGAGCGGAGTAAGTGTGGGCCCTTAAAGGGAGGGGATGGTGATCCCCCTTCACAGGGATATCCTGGAAAACAGCTGCCAGCTATCCCTCATTGGTTACTGCAGCTCAGTCCCTATCCCCCGGGAGAAACCAAAAACCCATCCAGTCCTTTCCCAAGGATCCAGGGGTCCAGGTCCCTGGCCACCCCCAGGAGCTCTGCTTCCCGATTCTCCACCCGAGTGAGACATGTGAGTTTCGGTCCTGCTTCTTTAGAGAAGACAGGCATCCCAGACTCCACATTTGGTATACATGAGAAGCTGAGACGGAGTCTCACTCTGTCACCAGGCTGGAGTACAGTGGCTTGATCTCAGCTCACTGCAGCCTCCCCTTCTCAAGTTCAAGCCATTATCCTGCCTCAGCCTCCTCCTGAGGAGCTGGGATTACAAGTGCCTGCCACCACACCTGGCTAATTTTCATATTTTTAGTAGAGACGGGTTTTCACCATGTTGGCCAGGCTGCTCTCGAACTCCTGACCACAAGTGATCCACCCACCTCAGACTCCAAAATGCTGGGATTACAGGCATGACCCACCGCCTGGATGTAGCTTTCAGCTTCTCCTCTCCAATAACCAGGCATGCAGGCCCCACCCCTGTCCTAGCAAAACCTCAGACATCTGGGATCATCGGCTACCACACCCCTTTGTGATAGAAAATTCCTGCTTTACTGCACAATTTAACAACCGGGGCCCCTACACCTCCACCCTCAGATCTAGCAGTCTCGGCACCCAACTCCCAGCACTCAGGTCTTGCCCCCTGGCCTGCCCTCCTGCACCCTGGGGCCCCACTTTCCACACAGCCCTGCCCCTCCCGGCCTGGCTGGCTGCCGGCGGGCCTCTCAGGGTCCTTCATCCGTCTCTCCAGTCTCGGATCCTGACCCGTGGATCTCAGCCTCCAGCCCTGCTCTAGCCCCAGCCTTGCCCTCGGGCACAGCCCCTTTCCTCTTCAGCCCTGGGGTCCTGCTCCCTGAGCCCGAATCGTGTCCTCCTTGGAGGTCCCTGAAGAAGGTAAGTCTGGACTGAAGGGAGGTCCCTCTGTTCCCCTTGCTACTGCTGCCATGTTTGCTCTTCTTTGGGGGCACGGAGCTGATCCCGTACTTGGCATGTAGCCCTGGGGGTGTATGTGGGGGGCGGGAGGGAGAGGCAGGAAGGTGGGAGGGGCACTGAGGCCCAGCAAACGATACCTGCTCTTTCAGGAGTCTCCCAAGACCTCCCAACGGTGGAGGGAGCCCAAGCCCACGGGGAACTTGACATACCACCAGTACATGCCCCCAGAGCCCAGACAGGGAGCCAGGGCTGGCCCCCAAGCCGAGGAGTCCGCCCTGGGTCCTCCGGGGCCACCTCTGTGGGAAGGGACAGAGTCACAGCTGCCACATCCTAGGTATGACACCCATTTCCCTTCTCCCAGGACCCAGAAATCCAGGTCCCAGCATTCTCCTGCCTCAAACCTACAGTCCAAGACCAGGGGAGTCGGGCCCCAAACCCCCCTCCTCCCCCAAGGTTTACGAGCCCAGGATCCCAGCCCCTCGCCCTTCAGACCTGAGTCTGAGATCCCAGTTCCTTCTCCCCTGTGCACAGAAATCTAGCCCCATGTTTGCGCCCTCAGAGACCCAGAATTCTGGGCCCCCGCTTTTCTGCATCTTCCCCAGCCCCCGAACCTTTGGGTTTGAGGACCCCAGAACGCCTCCCCACCCCTGCCCCTCTAACCTTTGCTCACCCCTCACGATTATCGCCAGGATGAAGCCCACTCCCCTCACTCCCCGCCCACCAGGAGTCCTCAGACCCTCGCCCCCTCCACACAAGTTGGAACTCCAGACCCTTAAACTGGAGGAGCTGACGGTGAGTCTGGGGTGTAACTTTCCAGGTTGCTTCTCTCCCTCGGTGGGGTCCCAGACATCCAACCCCGCAGCCTCTGCCCCCTGCAAATCCAGGAGGTCGGGTACCTAGTCCCATCCTGTTTTAGGGTCCCAGGAGTCCAGACCCTCCCAGACCCCCAGTGCCTCCTTTCTGTTTCCGAACATCCCGTCCCGGGTCCCGCCTGCGCCCAGAGTTCGCCCAGCACCGCCTGTCCCCACCCCTCCTCCCCAGGTCTCAGAGCTCCGGCAGCAGCTGCGCCTGCGGGGCCTCCCAGTGTCGGGGACCAAGTCTATGCTCCTGGAGCGCATGCGCGGCGGCGCCACGCCCCGCGAGCGGCCGAAGCCGCGGCGCGAGGACAGTCCCGCGGGTGCTCCCTGGCCGCGCCTCAGGCCCAAGGCCCTGGCAGCCGCCCGGCGGCCGAGCTCGGTGAGGGCGGGGCTATGCGTGTGTGGACCAATAAAGAGAAAGCAAAGTGGGACGGGGCGGGAAGTCGATAAAACTAGCCAATGAAGTGTGGGGGCGTGGCCTAGCGATGCGGAGCCTTGAAGGCGAGGGGGCGTGGCTCAGAGCAACAGAAGGAGGATCTTTAGGGAAGAGGAGATAATGAAAGAATATGGGGCCCGGTGCGGTGGCTCAAGCCTGTAATCCCAGCACTTTGGGAGGCCGAGGCGGGTGGATCACGAGGTCGAGAGATCGAGACCATCCTGGTCAACATAGTGAAACCCTGTCTCTACTAAAAATACAAAAAGTTAGCTGGGCATGGTGGCGCGTGCCTGTAATCCCAGCTACTCAGGAGACGGAGGCAGGAGAATTGCCTGAACCGAGGAGGCGGAGGTTGCGGTGAGCCGAGATCGCACCATTACACTCCAGCCTGGGTACTTGGGTAGCAAGAGCGAAACTCCGTCTCAAAAAAAAAAAAAAAAAAAAAAAGAATATAGAATATGGGGCGAGGCCAAAGGAGGGATTGAGCAGCGAGGAGCCCCGACAGGGCCAAGGGGCGGAGCCACACACTGCGAGTGGGTGGGGTTGCGCCAGGTGGGCGTGGCTCACGGGAGCTCCTCCCCTTGGCCGTTCTAGGTCAAGCCCAGCGCCGCATCTCACCTGCCATCTCTTCCACGTGCCGCGGACATCCCGGGGATGGCTCCAGCTCCAGCTCCCGCTCTGGCTGCAGCTCCAGCCCTGACCCCTTCCTCAGCGCCGGCTTCCGTGGCTCTGACTCTGGAGGAGGAGCTGCAGGAAGCAATCTGGAGGGCGCAGGTAAGAGGGTACAGGTCGCATCCTCTCCAGGGGTCTCCGGTTAAGCCCAGGTCAGAGTCCCGAGTTCATGCCGAATTTTCCCATCCGCAGTTGCTTCCGAACCGGGGCATCGATGACATCCTGGGGGATCCGGTGGAGCCTGTTGGTATGATCCGAACTCCTAGATTTAAGGGAGATGGGCCTTGAAGTTCTGGACTCCTGAGTCCGCGGGAGGTGTGGGCTGGGGAGCCGAACTCCCAGAAACGGGGTACGGGGGGCTGGTGCCCGGATCCCTGACTTTCCAAGCTCATGTATCATTCTTTATCCCGCAGACCCCCTGCCTCCCATCCCCCTGGACTTCCCTGGCTCCTTCGACGTGCTGTCTCCCTCCCCGGGCTCAGAAGGCCTCTCATCTGTTTTCTCCTCTTCATTCCCGTCCCCTACGAACTCCTCCTCTCCTTCTCCCAGGGACCCCACGGACTCCCTGGACTGGCTGGAGTCCCTGAGTGGGGGTCCTCCCCTGGGTTCTGGTCCCCCAGCCCCCAGCATCTTCTCCGCTGACTTATCTGACTCTGGCAGCAGCCGGCTGTGGGACCTGCTGGAGGGCCCATGGTGATGGATTCGGGGGCTTCCAAAAAGAGAAATGGTGGGGGTGGAAAGCAGCTCCCTGGGTGGGGCGAGAAGGACCAGCAGAGCCCTTCCTACCGCAGACACAGGACTGGAGACCACCTCCCACCCCACCTGCCTCCTGAAGTGCTGCTGACCGAAACTGCCTGAACTTTGCCTACTTGGCCCCCTTACCATGCGCCTCCAGGGTTGTACGGTTGGGGGGCTTCTTTCGCTGCTGGCCACGGCAAACAAGCTGCTTGCTGCTTCTTTCAGAGACCTCATGGATGTTTTTACATGTACCCACCCCCAGCAGATGGCTGCCTATTGTCTGGGGGGCCTAGAGAGTGGTTATGCCTTTGGGATACAGGAGAGGAGCAAGAAAGAGTGGAGGGGGAGAATGGGGGGCAAGGACTTGACCCCCCAGGGTTCTGGTTGGAGATGAAAGTATTAGAAACATCTGGTCTAAGATCAGCTTCTCTTGGAAGCAGAGCTTGAGGTAAGATATAGATGCAAGTGATTTATTAAAGAAGTGTTCAGCTGGGCGAAGTGGCTCAAGCCTGTAATCCCAACACTTTGGGAGGCCGAGGCGGGTGGATCACGAGGTCGAGAGATCGAGACCAGCCTGGTCAACATGGTGAAACCCCGTCTCTGCTAAAAATACAAAAAATTAGCTGGGCATGGTGGCGCGTGCCTGTCATCCCAGCTACTCAGGAGGCTGAGGCAGGAGAATTGCCTGAACCCAGGAGGCGGAGGTTGCGGTGAACCGAGATCGCGCCATTGCCCTCCAGCCTGGGTAACAAGAGCGAAACTCCGTCTCAAAAAAAACAAACAAACAAAAAAAACAAACGAACAACAACAACAAAAAAAAACACAACTGTTCAGCTGGGTGTGGTGGCTCTAATCCCAGCACTTTGGTAGGCCGAGGCAGGTGGATCATGAGGTCAAGAGATCGAGATTGCCGGGCGCTGTGGCTCAAGCCTGTAATCCCAGCACTTTAGGAGGCCGAGGCGGGTGGATCATGAGGTCAAGAGATTGAGACCATCCTGGTCAACATGGTGAAACCCTGTCTCTACTAAAAATACAAAAAATTAGCTGGGCATGGTGGCGCGTGCCTGTAATCCCAGCTACTCAGGAGGCTGAGGCAGGAGAATTGCCTGAACCCAGGAGGCGGAGGTTGCGGTGAGCCGAGATTGAGCCATTGCACTCCAGCCTGGGTAACAAGAGCAAAACTCCGTCTCAAAAAAAAAAAAAAAAAAAAAAAAAAAAAAAAAAAATTATTCCAGCCGGTACAGTGGCTCATGCCTATAATCCCAGCACTTTGGGCGGCTGAGGTGGGTGGATCACCTGAGATCAGAAGTTTGAGACCAGCTGGCCAACATGGTGAAACCCTGTCTCTACAAAAAAAAAAAAAAAAAAAAAAAAATTAGCTGGGCATGGTGGTGCATGCCTGGAATCCCAGCTACTTGGGAGGCTGAGGCAGGAGAATCACTTGAACCCGGGACACAGAGGTTGCAGTGAACCAAGATCATCACATTGCACTCCAGCCTGGGCAACAGGAGCAAAACTCCATCTCAAAAAACAAAAAAGAAAAAAACCAAAGAGAGAGAGACAAGTGTTCCAAGGAAAAATCAGTAGAAGAGTGGAGAAAACGGAACAGCAAAGGGGAAGAGGAGCAAGAGGTGATTTCAAGTGAGGTTTCAACCTCAGCCTAATCCTTTGGGGAGCTCCAGAGCACAAATTAAGTTGCGGAGTCTTTCCCATCTTGGGACACACGCAACTGGGTCTTTGTATCTTCCTGTGTGAGCTTATTATAGCCTAATAACAAACCACCCCTAGACCAGGCTCAGTGGCTCACACCTGTAATTCCAGCACTTGGAGAGGCTGAGGCAGGCAGATCACTTGAGGCCAGGAGTTTGAGACCAGCCTGGCCAACATGGTGAAACCCTTCTCTACCAAAACTACAAAAAACAAATTAGCTGGGCATGGTGGTGTGAGACTGTAATCCTAGCTACTTGATAGGTCACGGCAGGAGAGTTGCCTGAAACCAGGAAGTGGAGGTTGCAGCGAGCTGAGACAATGACACTTCACTCCAGCCTCGCAACAGAGTGATACTCCATCTCTAAACAAGCAACAAAAACCCACGCCACCCCAAAACTTAGAGTTGTAAAACGGTAACTCTGATTGCTCACAAATGCACAGGTGGACTAGGCTCAGCAGAACAGTTCTTCAGTCCCATGTGATGTTGGCTAGAGCTGTAGTCATCTCAGGGCCCAACTGGCTGGCACATCCAAGACGGTGCACTCAGATGTGTGCAGCACTACCAAGTCCAGCTTGGCTGTAGAGGCACCTGTCCAGGTGACAATGAAGGAATAGAGAAGCAGACAGGAAGATAAAACAGCAAAGTGAGCCTCTTGAGGTGGGGTCGGGGGGAGCAACAGCCTTCCGAGCTGACAGACCCAAGGGCTGACGGCATTCTGGGCTGGGAACTCGAGCGGACGCTGATCCACGGGTTTATTCTCTCTGAACAGGTGCTCATTATTAGCAAGCAGGTGTTCCGTATTCTCTTACAACAAAATATACCAAATAGGCAGCTGGTGCTCACTCACCACTGATCACAGACAAACTAAAAAGCGTTCTCCACGAGGGAGCCACGGGGGCAGGGTCAGATGTTCTGAGCTTAAATAATTGTTTTAACCGGTGTATGATATTTATACATTGTCCTGCCACTTTAGAATGCCCCACGTAGTTTTCTACTGTGGGGGGAGGGGTAGCTAGGTTTCCCTTGCTATTTCTTTTTTTTTCCCTGGCAACTTTCATTTTAAAAAAAGTAGGTAACCAGCAGCCCTCAGGGCTGTTTTGTCTATGGAGTAGCCTTTTTTTTTTTTTTTTTGAAATGGAGTCTCGCTCTGTAGCCCAGGCTGGAGTACAGTGACGCAATCTCCGCTCACTGTAACCTCCGCCTCCAGGGTCCCGGTTCAAGCAATTCTCCTACCTCAGCCCCTCAAGTAGCTTGGATTACAGGCACGAGCCACCATGCCCAGCTAATTTTTGTATTTTTTAGTAGGGACAGGGTTTCACCACGTTGGCCAGTCTGATCTTGAACTCCTGACCTCGTGATCCACCCGCCTCAGCCTCCCAAAGTGCTGGGATGATAGGCATGAGCCACTGCACCTGCTATCATTCATTCTAGCAAACAATACATTCCATCATACACTCAGCATTTCTCAATATGGCACCATGGTGCCAGCAGCATGAAGGCTGGGTCCACCTGGGTTGTGGGGACAGCTGAACTTCTCTCATTCTCTATGTAGGGTCAGTGCTGGCCCTCTGTGGTCTCTCCATCAGGGTAACTAGACTTGCATGATATCTCAGGGCTCCTAAGAGTGAGTATTCCAAGAGGGGGGAACAGAAGCTGCCAGTCTCTTAAAGACTAGATTTGGAACTGGCATTGTTAGACCCTAGTGAGATAGAAGGAAAGTGTCTCACTAACTGAATTCCAATTGGGAGTCCTTCACTGCCAGCAACCCACAGTCAGCTCGTGCTCAAAATGTCTCGGCCATGAGGAAGCGGCTTTATTCCTTTTTATACCTTGCTGAAGAAAGGGGAGGGGGAGCCTAGCTCAAGCAGAAGTTACAGAAGCAGAACAAGCAAGTTAGACGAGGAGGCTGGTAACCAGGAGGCAGGAGGCTCCCATGATTGTTGATTAGTAAGGAGGGTATACACCAGCGGCTCCCATGATTGCTGGTTACCAAGGGGGGTATTCGGTACTTGCCATATAATCAGTCAAGGAGGTATTCACAATAGCAAGTGGGCTTGCCAAGCAGGATAGGTTTACAATGGTTCTATGCCTCTAGAGTTCTCAGCATGACATGACCCAGCACAGCAGCATGACCCAGGCACTCAAGGGAGAAATGGCTGGAGGGGTGAGGTGGGGGTTAAGATGGAGTCTGTCTGGCTCTCAGCAAGATGGAGTCTGTCAGACTAACACAGGGTAGGTTAACACAGCACAATTTCTCTTCCACTATATTTTATAATTAATGCAAGACAGGCAAGCCCAGATTACATATGGGATGGGACTATACAAATTTGTGAATATCAGGGGCGTGCTCTCTAGGGGTTATATTTGGAGACTTACCACTATACCAGCCCTGGTCAGTCCTGGGCCATGGGTGACGGAGGGAGGGAGGAATGACGTAAACCCTCAGGCATTCCAGCCCAACGCAGTCCTGGGAAGAACGTCATACGGCAAGTTGTTAGCAGCAAAATGTTTTCAAATGTAGGTTTCAGGGCTGGGCACCATGGTTCATACCTGCAGTCCCAGCTACTCTGGAGGCGGAGACAGGAGGATCACTTGAGCCTGGGGGTTTGAGGTTGCAGTGAGCTATAATTGCACCATTGCACTCCAGCCTGGGCAACAGAGCAAGATCCTTGGAAAAAAAAAAACAAAAAAGGCCGGGTGTGGTGGCTTATGCCTGTCACCTTAGTACTTTGGGTAGCAAAGCAGGTGGATCACCTGAGGTCAGAAGTTCGAGACCAGGCCGGGCTCGGTGGCTCAAGCCTGTAATCCCAGCACTTTGGGAGGCCGAGGCGGGTGGATCACGAGGTCGAGAGATCGAGACCATCTTGGTCAACATAGTGAAACCCTGTCTCTACTAAAAATACAAAACACTAGCTGGGCATGGTGGCACGTGCCTGTAATCCCAGCTACTCAGGAGGCTGAGGCAGGAGAATTGCCTGAGCCCAGGAGGCGGAGGTTGCGGTGAGCCGAGATCGCGCCATTGCACTCCAGCCTGGGTAACGAGAGCGAAACTCCGTCTCAAAAAAAAAAAAAAAAAAAAAAAAAAAAAAGAAGTTCGAGACCAGTCTGGCCAATATGGTGAAATCCCATCTCTACTAAAAATACAAAAAGAATAAATAAATAAAATAAAATGAGTGGGCCATGGTGGTGTACGCCTGTAATCCCAGCTACTCAGGAGGCTGAGGCAGGAGAATCACTTGAACCTGGGAGGCGGAGGTTGCTGTGAGCCGAGATCACGCCTGCACTCCAGCCTGAGCAACAGAATGAGACTCAGTCTCAAAAAAAAGACCCCAAAAAACAAAGAAACAAACAAAAAACAGAAGAGGCAACGTAAGCAGTTTTTTTTTTTTTTTTTTTTTTTTTTTTTTTGAGACGGAGTTTCACTCTTGCTACCCAGGCTGGAGTGCAATGGCGCGATCTCGGCTCACCGCAACCTCCGCCTCCTGGGTTCAGGCAATTCTCCTGCCTCAGCCTCCTGAGTAGCTCGGATTACAGGCACGCGCCACCATGCCCAGCTAGTTGTTTTGTATTTTTAGTAGAGACGGGGTTTCACTATGTTAACCAGGATGGTCTCGATCTCTTGACCTCGTGATCCACCCGCCTCGGCCTCCCAAAGAGCTGGAGTTACAGGCGTGAGCCACCGTGCCCAGCCCTTTTTTTTTTTTTTTTTTTTTTTTTTAAAATGGGGTTTCACCATGTTGGTCAGGCTGGTCTTGAACTCTCGACCT